CCCGTCGCTGCTGCCGCCACCGCCGCCTCGGCGCTGACCGACGACGGGGCCAGGCTGGCGTACGGGTTGCGAGACGCAAACGCCAGCGAAGACGCGCTCGACGCCTGCCGAGAATGGGCCGCAGACTCGGCGTCACCGCCGCTGGCGCCATTGATCGACCCAGCCGAGCTGCTGGCTGCGTACGACGCCTGCGAAGTCGCCGACTGCCGATCGTGGCCGTGGCTAGACGACCTGTCTGATCCGGGGACGGGCAGGGGCCGAGAGACCCTCGGCTGCTGGTGTGGCAGCGGCGACGATGCAAAGGCGGCCTGCTGCGACGGCGTCGGCGATGTGGGCAGTGCCATCGACGGCAAGGCTGCCGACGACTGGGATAGCCTGCCGCCGCTTCCGCCAGCCGACGATCCAGCGGCACCCATGGCATGGTATGGAGACGGCGATCTCGAACCCGAGGACTCTGCCGGCCCAGCACCGAGGTAGCCTGCTCCATTGATGCCGCTGCCGCCGCTGCTGGTGCCGCCCATGGCAGCTCCCGCCCTGTCGTCCGCAGCGTGGCGACGTCCAGCGCCGCTGTTGGAGTTGTAGTAGAGCTCACCCGTCTCGGCATCCTCGACCAGGGCGCTGCGGTCCACCCTCACCTCGACCTTGCTGAGCTCCGTCACCCGCCGCTCCTCCTCATCCGCCTCGGCCTGCTGGCGCGCCTCGTCGACCATCCTGGCCGCCTCGACGCACCTGCCATGGGACTCCAGTAGGTCCGACAGGAGGCGCTCCTGCCACGTCGACTCCGACGGCGGCGCAGCGCCCGTGGCCGCCCGCTCCTGATCGGGGGCGTCCCTGGACCGGTCCGCCTGGGCGCTTGCCCACGGCACCTGCGACATGAGGAACTCCTGCGAGTCGACGGCCTTGCGGTGGAACTCGTCGATCAGCTCGAGCGTGTCTGGGCGCATGCCTTCGTTGAGCATCGTCTCGATGAGCACGTTGGCGTTGCTGCGGGCAATCTGGCACTCTTCGTGCAGCTTGCGGACATCGGCGTCGAGGGTCGGCATGGCGCCAAACGAGCCTGGCGACGGCACGTCTGCCGGGTGGCGGTCGAAGGGCTGCATCGGCGGCAGAGCGGTCGTCGTCCTCGCCGCCGCAGCTGTTGGTCCAGAAGCGTGCGAGGGTGCAGCATGACGGCGGTCGAAGGAGGCGTGATTGCGATCCATGTGCGGCCGAAGCAAGGGTGGTGGGGCATCTGCGTCCGCCGCCGCCATGTCGGCCATCATCGCACCTGATCGGGGCTGCCATTGTTCGTGGTTCGATGCCTGCCGGGCAAAGCTGGGCTGCACCTCGTTGGCGCCGCCGCCGCCGCCGCCGCCAGCCAACGAAAACTCCTCAAGGTCCGGGCTCAGCGCCTCTCCGCCGATGGGCCGATCGCTCGGCTTGACCTTGTTCCAGCATCGCGTGACGCTGCTGAGCTCCGAGTCGGTGCGGAACTCGTACGCGAGCACGCCGAGCACCCGCAGCATCGTCTCCTTGACGCTGAGCGGCGTTTTTGGCGACGAGATTGTCTCCTCGACGACGTCCAGGAACCGCTTCGAGGCAATCTGCAGCTTGAAGCGGTCGCTCGAGTTCATCGTGAGCACCGCCCACACCCTGGCGGCGCGCTTCTGCGCGGGCATCGTGCCGTACTTGAACTCCTTGCGCAGCGCCCGGGCCGCCTCCTTGCTCGCCGCCTCCGAGTAGCTCACCGCCTCGGCCAGCGAAAGCACCACCTCCCAGTCGTCGGCCGCCGTCTGCTGTGCGCAGAGCCAGCCCACCTTTGCGGTGACGATGCCCTCGAGCTCCCGCTCTGCCTCCTTGCTCAGCTTGTTGCCCTTCTTTTTGGCCTTGCGGTCGTACCAGTGGTCCTTGCGCGACGACGACGCCGACGACGAAGCCGCGGCCGCGGGCTGCGGTGAGCTGGGCGTGGGCGGGAGACTGCGTTCCAGGCGCTCGCCGTGTTGCGCCGTCAAGAGGTCCGGCCGGGCATCCGGAGCGTAGCTGTGGTAGGGCACGTCGCCTCGATCCTCCGCTTCAGGGCCTGCCGCTGGGGCCCCATTGACGCGGGCGGCGGGTCCTTTGGATTCCTTGCCGTCACTGCCGAAGCCAAAGAGCTTCTTGGGGCCTTTGGCTCTACCCTTTTTCCGGTCGGCCGACGGTTCTGCGGGGTCGAGTCGCCGGTCGCGCGAGCCTGTGGAGCCGACGGAGAGAAGCGTCTCTGGACCTTCTTCTCCTTGACCGGCATAGACGGGATAGGCCGCCGGTGTCGGGCCGCTGCCGCCACCGCCACCGCCGGCGCGACCAAAGCGCCAACTGCTTCTCTGTGGCTGCGCCTCGCCGTCTGGCTGGTCCAGGTATCCGTCCGTCACGCCCTCGCCGCCGACGCTGGCCTGGTCGCGCTGTTTGCGGGTGCTCCTCCATCTCCGCATGCCCAGCGCCCCACGCCGTGCGACGCCCTCGCCCTCTCCCGTGCTGCGTTCCCGCTGCAGGCTCGACGGTGGTCGGCCCTCTGCCGAGTTCCACGGCGGGCGTTCGACAGAGGTCCGCGATGCCACGCTACCCTGGTTGGAATGGTGTGGACCCATCGGCTGCGACGCCCTGCCTGGCATTCCCGACGAGGAGTTCTCCATGCGAGCGTGGCCCGAGGAGCCGGAACCGTGGCCACCGTGGCCGCTGCCGGACATCGCGACGTCCGGATCCGCACCGATTGCGGCGTGATTCGTCGTTCTGGGCACCAGGCTATTGAGGACCCGCGATTGCCGATAGGCCGACTCATCGTCGCTGTCGGTGTCCCTGTCGCTGTCGACTGCGCCACTGGCATGACCAGAGCTCGACTGGCGGCGTGAGGGCCAGGCATCCGCGGCCGTCTCTGCTTGGCCGACAACCCTCGAGCGGCCAGCAGGCCCGTTCCCCGTCGGCGTGCCCACCAAGGTGGCCGCAGGATGCCCGCGTGGTGAGACGGGATAGTTGCTCGGCGCCGAGGGATGGTGCTGGTGCTGCTGGAAGGGTTGTCGGCCTCCGTCGTGTGGCCGCGGCTGAGGCCCTGCATCGAACAGCTGGTACGACTGCGGACGGCCGCTGGGCGAGAATTGGGGGGCGGGAAAGGCCGATGGCTGCTGAAGCGGGTCACGCGAGCGATGCGACTGCAGGGGAGGGTTGCTGTACGGCGAACGGATGGGAGGCTGGTGCGAGCTGTGTCGTTGCTGCTGCCTCCGAGAGGAGGGGGTCGACTCGGCGTCGGGCGGGAAGCCCGGCTGCGCCCCTTGACCGGCGCGGAAGTCGTAGTCGGAAGGAAAGGGCGACGGGGAGGGGGGCAGGTAGTCTCTCTGCTGCAGCTGGGGCGGGTCCCGCGACTCGTCCCCCAGTGGCAGCGGCGTGATGACGTTGGCGTCCTTGGGTTTGAAGAGTCGCTTCATCTTAGCGTCGTCGTCCTGAGCGATGCGATCGCCGACCCGGCGTCAGTGAGGAGGGATGTTCCAGCGGCCGAGAATGCCTTCGAGCGTCCAATGCCGGGTCGAAGAGGGTGCGGTGGAAAGACCGGGCAGGCGCCAAGACGGGACGCCCGAGCTTCGACGAGAGGAACGAGGCGAGAAGATGGCCTTGATGTCTAGGATTGTCCCATGTGTGCTGCGGTCGTAGGAGAAGAGGAGCAGATCGGCCAAGGATGATGCAGCAGCGATTCGTTGGAGCTCTCGGCCGGTCGGGGTACAGGCAAGGTTCGATGGGGACCGGAAGCAAGCGGGTCGGGAGGAAGTCGACCCGCTCTCCCGGCTACGGTGCCTCTGGTTGCGACGCTGGGGCTGCGTATACCCGGCGAGGGTCGCTAAAGGATCCGCTGGTCAGAGTGAAGACCGAGAAACGAGGGGGTCTATGCTTGGTGGGCACGAGAGGAGGTAAATGCCGGCCCTTGCAAAGGGCGGTGTGTCTGCGTCGTCGATATGGCGCGGGAGAGACGGGCGTTTCGAGGAGCACAATGCTCGCGCTGAGCGGCCTCCGAGACCGCGGTGTAGGGCGAGCAAGATATCGTGGCTCTGCCGGCGGGTTGGTACGAGAAGAGGGAGGGAGCTGAGAGGGGCGGCCGTGTCGGGAGGCAGCCCGGGGCCGACGGCCGAAGATGGGGATGGGAATGGGTCAGGAGGTGAGGCGGTCCGGCGGTCGCTGGCGATGATGTTCCGCTCCGTCAGATGAGTGAGCGAGCGCGGCGAGGTAGACGTGGGCGTGCGCAGAAGGATCGATGTGGCACTGATTGCAGGTGTAGAGCGCCGGGCCGTGCAGCGAAGCGAAGCGAGCAAAAGGACGACCGGCGTGTGATGTCGAGCAATGCACCAGGGAACGATAAATCGATGGTGGCGGTGGTGGCGGTGGTGACGGGGGTTGAGGAGATGGTGGTGATGATGTCGGCCGCAGCGATGGCAGTGGCAATAATGTGGGGGAGAAGGAGGCGGCAAAGCAAGCAAGCCAGCAAGCCAGCCAGCCAGCACCAGCCAGCCGGGTCGGTGACGGGGCGAGCAAGTGGAACGGACCAGCAGGCCAGAGCCACAGCCCGCAGACGGCCTGCGAGCCAAGCCAAAGCAGCCGACCCACCGCGCAGAGAGCCAGATGGAGGCTAGGGGGACCCAGGAAACCCGACGGCGGCAGCCCGACCCCGTCCAAAAAAATAGAAGCCGTACGGCGTGCCTGCTGGCCGGGGCGTGGCCGTGCGTGGCGGTGCAACCCCCACCCGCCTGCCTGCTCCTGCTGGCTGGTTGGTGAACCGCTTGCCTGCTGGTTGTCAAGCGCAAGCCAAGCCCCACCCGAAGCAAGGCCACCCACACGGACGACGGTCTCTTCTGACGGACGGCTCATCCGGCGACGCTTCCACCGCCTCGGCCTGCCTGCCTGCCTGCCTGCCTGCCTGCCTGCCGGCTACACGTACCCAACCTCGTCCTTTCGTCCGAGGCTTGCTCTTTCATGCTTCCCTCGCCCGCACGGTGCGGCTGACGGGCTGAAAGGCGGCAGGATCCCGACCGACTGGACCAGCCGCACATGCAGAACTCGCCACCGGGCATGTTTCGCGCCGCTTCCGGGCAAGAGCGTTGGCGCAGCGCAGCGCGGCCAGACCGGACGGGACGGGACGGGACGGGACGAGGCCGGCAGGATATACTGTGTATTGACAACGAGGGGCGGCAGCATCGGCGCAGGCGCAAGGGAAAGGGGAGGTGGACACGCGTCGCCGATGGAGTTGGAGAGGGACGTCGAGGGGGCACCAGCAACAACGGCGAGGTAGAGTCACGTACGGCTTCGTCAGGGAATGCGTTGAACAACAGAGACAGGCGGAGCCGTGAAACGGAGGCGTGAGGGTGAGCGGCTGAGGGGAGCGAGGGAGGTCAAAGGTACGTAGCAGGGCTGCTGGGCGGAGCATCGAAGAACGGAACCGACGAGGGACAAGACTGCCTCGAGAACGGATGCCGTCCGCCGCCGCCGCCGCTCAGCAGTTGCAGGCATCTTGCTGCTGGCCATGCTGCTGGCCACGCAGGTCGACACCGCCACGTCCCCCCGCGCCGCTCGGGTTGACGGTGCCACCGCGCCCGCCGCCCGGTGCCCCCCGCTGCGCGTCAGCGGCCTGCTCGAGCGGCAGCTTCCTCGCAATCATCGTAAACAGCTCCGACACGTTTGACGAGTCCTTGGCCGACGTCTCGAGGAAGAGGAGGCCCTCGTCGGCCGCGTACCGCTCCGCCTCCTCGGTCGGGATCGCCCGCCTCGTGCTCGCCAGGTCCGCCTTGTTGCCCGCGAGCGCAATCACAATGTTGGGGTCCGCCTGCCTCTGCAGCTCCCGGATCCACGCCTTGGCCTTGTCCAGCGAAGAGGGCTGCGTGATGTCGTACACCACCACCGCGCAGTTGGCGTTCCGGTAGTACATGGGCGCCAGCGACTTGTATCGCTCCTGGCCCGCCGTGTCCCTGGTGGGCGGCGGCGTGGAAAGCGTGCAAGGGCGGTGCAGAGCGTGTTGCGGAGACGTCAGGATGCTGTCATCGCGGGGCCCTGAGCTCCATCGGCCGCGAGCTGGACGGCTTGCTTGCACTCACCAGATCTCAAACTTGACCGTCGTCTGCGGGTCGAGGCTGACAGTCTGCGTCAGGAATGCGGCTGCAGCGAGGCGTTCGACGGGGTGGGACCGAAGGGAAGACCGTCAGGTCAGGTTCGGCCGGGACAGTTCAGGCCGGATCGTGTCAAGATGCCCCAGTCCATGGCAAGGGCCACGACCGCTCGGATCCAGGGATGAGCTGCACTCACCTCCGATTGTGCTCTCCCGGTAGTCGTCAAACTGGTCCTTGACGAAGCGGAGCACCAAGCTCGACTTGCCGACCGCCGACTCGCCTGAGCGCAGGTCAAGGCAGCATCGGAGCGGGTGGAGGGCATGAGAGAGGTGGGCCGGGTCAGCGCTGGGGATGCGATCATGAGCGAGAGTAGGAGGCATGAGTGCACGGCACGAACCCAAAAGCACGAGCTTGAACTGGGGCATCCGAGCGGCGCCTGACCTCTGCGCTGCTGCCATGATGTTTCAATGGCGCGGGTGCGGTCAAGAGATACTAGGTGGAAGGAGACGGCTGGCTGGATGGCAGTCACCGGCGAGCTGGCGGCGAGCAGGACTGGCTGGATGACACAGGTGCGAGTGCTGCTGATGTCCAGGGCGGGCGGCAAGCAGCGGCGATGTGTGCGGATGCCTGTCGAGGTGATAAATTGGAACGGCGCTGGCGAAGCTTTGATCTAGTCTTTGGCTGCGGCAGACGAGGGTCGATGCAGGACCGGCGGTGAAATCGAGTGCGGTGGCTCGGGATCAGCTGATGCCGTTGCGATGGCGTCGGTGTGTGTGTGTGTCGATCTCGAGCTGAAATACGGAAGGATGGCAGCAGAGGCAGTCAGGCTGACGCTGTCCGATATCGTATCGATGGGCAGACAGGGAGGCGATGTTCGTGCTTGATGATGGTGGTGGTGGTGGTGGTGGTGGTGGTGGTGGCGGCGGAGGAGCTGGTGATGACGACGGCGAGCAAGCCCAGAGTGGTGGTGTCAGGCAAGCAACCAAGGTGGAGCGCCCGCTCGGCAAAGAGGGCCCGCCCAGCCAGACCTCGAGCCTAAGGCCGGCCAGCCAAGCCCTGTCCTGCCTGTGGTTTGGCTGGTCAGACCACCAGGCAGCTTGGCCGAGGTCTCGGCGCAACCGCTCTGCTGGGGGGCAGCCAGCCCGCCCTGACCGCCCGCTCGCCTGCCTGCTGCCAGGTGGAGTTTGAGGAGGGGCCGCGGGCGGCGGGCGTTGGGCGGCAAACCAGCTCGGCCTTGGCTTGCTTGGCCTGGCCTGCTGCGCTGCCTGCCGGGCCATGCGCTCGCTTTCAGGGGCCCTTTCGGAATCGGCGCTGCGTAGGCCTCGAGGCCAGGCCAGGCTGGGCCAGGCTAAGCAGCGCCTGCGTCCGCTCGTTGTCGGCCGGTTTCCCTGTTTTCGCCTGGACCCTGCCTGATCCCTGCCTGGCCCAGCCAGGCCTGGTCTAGCCTGCAGGTCGAGGGAGGCGGGCAAAGACTGCCGGCGGCTTGTCCGAGACCCGGACCTGGCGCTCGCTTCTTCCTGAGCGGCCTCCATCCCATCCCCGTCCTGCCCAATTTTCCCCTTCCTCGACCTCTGCAGGTACCCTTGCTAGTCCATCGCCGCCCTCGCCCTCGGTCGACCAGCTACAACCATCGGCCACCAGCCCGGCCCTTTCTAAGGACGTTCCGAGACCGTCTTGGGCGGACTTGCAACGATACCCACCCTCTCCCTTCTTACCCTCGAACGTCGACATGATTGCTTGAGCACCTGGGAGCTTGACCGCCTTCTGAGCACTGCCTTGACCGCGAGTCCACTCGGCCCTCGGTGCGCTCCGAACCGAGCGGAAACCCGCACCTCGCCCGCCTGCGGCCTGACTTGACAGAACCAGCGCGCACACGGAGCGCCGGCCGCGCTCGATCCAGCGTCCCAGACATCCGGGAAAGCGCTCGCATCGCTGTGTCTGCCTTGAGAGAGTGACCGGAGGCCAAAAAGGTGCTGCCAAAAGGCGCCTTTAGGGGCCCTGCGAGAGAGACGGCCAAAGGGAGGCGAACTCGGATCGAGTGAAGAGGCATCGCCCGGCTCGGCAGCCTCTACCGGAAACCGCCGTCGGGGCGAGACCGGGCAGTGAGGAGCGATAGTCGTTGACATTCTCGGAGTGGCCGCCTTCAACGACGACGGATCCCGCGCAGGTGGTGGCTTGGCTGCCCGGCATGAACCGACACCACCCATACGGCGGCTACGATGTGAGGCCCCCCGGCAGAGGGGCCAGAGGCGGCAGACCGCCAGCTGGCAGGGGTCGGCCACACCCGCCTCAGCCCGCCTTTCAACATCAGGCTCAGCAGCAGCAGCACTGGCTCATGCCGGGCGCCGGATCTGCCGGCGAACCCGCGTCTCCCGCAGCGGATCCTCACCAGGCTGCACAGGGCGTATACGCTGGCGGCGCCCACCGCCAGCCAGTGGGCGCCATCAGGGCTGGACCCGCTGCGGTGGGTTGGGGCGCGAGGGGCTCTAGGGGCGGCAGGGGAGGCTTTCGGGGAGGAGGCGGAACAGGAGCCATGGTAGGGCGGGGAGGAGGCGGAACAGGAGCCATGGTAGGGCGGGGAGGAGGCGTTCGGGCGGGGCCCGTGGACGGACGTCGG